TTACTGCGTTTGATTGGCCAGCAAACTCGCCTGACCTGAACTGCATAGAGAATCTATGGGGCATTGCCAAGAGAAAGATGAGAGACATGAGACCGAACATGCAGAAGAGCTGAAGGCCACTATTGAAGCATCCTGGTCTTCCATAACACCTCAGCAGTGCCACAGGCTGATAGCTTCCATGCCACGCCGCATTGAGGCAGTAATTGCTGCAAAAGGGGACCAAACTAAGTACTAAGTACATATGCATGCTTATACTTTTCAGAGGTCTGATATTGTTCTATGTACAATCCTTGTTTTATTGATTGTATGTAATATTCTAATTTTCTGAGATTGTGGATTTGGGGTTTGCATGAGCTATAAGCAATAATCTTCACAATTATGACACATCACGGCTTGAACTATCTTGCTTTTCATGTAATGAATCTTTCTCATATTAGTTTCATCTTTTAAGTTGCATTACAGAAATAAATGAACTTTTGCATGATATTCTAATTTTTTGAGTTTCACCTGTATAATCTGGTTTTTTGGCCACTTTTAGTGTCAAAAGAAACAGGTGTCCATATCGCTGTCAGGGATATGTACATCTAGTTCTAAGAACAGTCAAGTTCAGTATTTGAAATGTGATCAAAAATAACTTGTGTGCATGCTTTATAGTATGTTTTATAACCAATTCTAGAACATTCTTCTAAAACTTAAACTTTCCCTTTCTAGAGGGGTGTAATTCAGTAGAAGCAATAGTATAAACAAAACATATTGAGGACTGGTTATTGACAATGCATATCTCATTTTTGCATGCAATTGTTATGAAAGCTAAGAATATGAATACAGAATACAAGATTTGGAAGGGACTTTGAAGGTCTTCTAGTCCAATTCCTTGCTCAGGCAGGAGACCCCATACCATTCTGGACAAATGGCTGTCCAATCTCTTTTTAAATACCTCCATGATAGAGCTCTCACAACCCCTGAAGACAAACTGTTTCACTGATTAATTGTTCACACTGACAGAAAATGTCTCCTTAATTAAATCTCTCTTCTTTAAGCTTCCATACATTGCTTCTTGTCTTGCCCTCATGTGCTTTGGAAAATAAGTTAACCCCCTCCTCTCTGTGGAGGCCCTCAAATAGTGGAAGACTGCTTGCTATCATGCCATCCCTAGTCCATCTCTTCATTAGACTAGACTCAGTTTCTGTAACGGTTCACTGTGTAATTTAGCCTCCATTCCTAATCATCTCTATTGCTCTCCTCTGCACTCTTTCTAAAATCTCAACATCTTTTTTTTGTCATGGGGACCAAATTGGATGCACTCTTACCAATGCCGTATAAAGTGGTACTAACACTTCATGTGATCTTCTGTTGGTGCAGCCTAGGACTTTGTGGCCTTTTTGCCAGCTGCAACACATTGCTGGCTCATATTTAAGTGAATGTCCACTAGGACTCCTAAATCGCTGTCATAGTTACTGTTGTTGCATTAGATACCACCTATTATTCTATACCTGTGCTGTACTTTTCTAATTTGAATTGTATTTGTTGAATGAAAACACCTCTTTTAATTGTATTTTGTCCACTGAGCCCAGACAGCTATTGTAACTTTTTAGTGATAATTTTTATATCAGCACTTTAAGTGAAGACATAATAGAGATTTTGTGGGATTCAAATTTTCTTGGCATTTTTTCTAACAATGGGCTTTTTTGTTTCAGAATCTACCAACATTCGAGTATTGTACTTCAGCATTTTCTCAATGTTCTGCCTCATTGGATTGGCAACTTGGCAAGTTTTTTATCTGCGGCATTTCTTCAAAGCTAAGAAATTGATCGAGTAGCAAGGGGTAATTTTCCCTTGTTTTGACACCCCAGGGAGCAACACAGAGACGTAGCAATGACTATTGAGAGCCATCTTGGAGTTGACCTGCAAAAATGAACTTTTTCTACAATTACCCACCAAAGGGATGGAGGGAGGGAAATACTCGCACAAAAATTGAGGAGGAAATTCAGGATTACCGGATACATTTGGAAGAGACAGTAGTTTGATTTTGAGAATTTTTGGACACAAATAAATAAAATTGTCTCGAGCTGTTCTTTTTTTTTCTTTACATAAACAGTTAAATGATGTTATCTTATATGTCACAAAGTTGCTCATATCTGCCACTCGGATACACAGAATGTGATGTATTTGAATCTTACTTGTTATTACACGGAGTTGGGTGAGGGAATGGCTCAGAAGTACGGATAGTCCACGACTTACAACAGTTCATTTAGTGACCATTCAAAATTACAACGGAACTGAAAAAGGTGACATGACCATTTTTCACCTATGATCTTTGCCCCATGATCATGTGATCAAAGTTCAGATGCTTGGCAACTAGTTCATATTTATGACAGTTGCAGTGATTACCTTTTGCGAGTCAATGGGGAAGCCAGATTCACTTAGAACCGGGTTACTAACTTCTCAACTACAGTGATTCACTTAACAACTGAGGCAAGGAAGATCGTAAAATGGGACAAAACTCACTTAACAAATGTCTCACTTAACAACAGAAATTTTGGCCTCAATTGTGGTATCTTGAGGACTACCTTTACTTGGAGCAGAACTTCACAGAAATAGATTACAAATGATCAGGAGCCACATTTCAGGAAGGGGGGAGGAATGACCAGTGACAGCTTTCTATGAAAACATTTGATATTTACGTTATGTTACTTCCAACAGCCTAAGAGAAATGATGTCATTGTTTAAATTATAGAACTTGAGATATAGCTTTTCCAGGTTTTCTATCCCATACTCTGATATCATTTCTGCTAAATGTCTTTGGAGATTATCAGTCATCCAGATCGTTGTCTCAAAGGTGTTGTTCAAAAGGCACCTGGACTTTCTTTGTTACCAACAAAGTACAAGTTGCCTTTTGAACAACACCTTTGGGACAATTTCTGCTAAAGTGACACAGCTCTTGAAAAAGCACCTTGAGTACTGTAAGAGATTATTTAATCATAAGAAGCTTTCCCCTAATATATACTTGAAATGCATACTTTTTATTTTCTTTTTCTTAACTTTTTCTTTACTTCCTACTTTCCACAATAAAAATACTACTTAATCTATATCAGACCTGCATTGGACAGATTTAAATCTGGTTATGGTTAGATCGTTATAGTCTTTCTTCAATGTATTGGGACATACCATAATGTGTAGAACAATCAATTTGCATGATAAAACATAATCTCTACTTTTTCAAAGTGTTTGTATTTTTCCAACACTTTACAAGATTTACATCAGTGGCAAAAATAATTGACATAGCTCTGAATCCTACTTGTTGATGCTGTGTGGCCAACACACCTGTTCGGTGTCATATTAATTTAAAAAAATGAGTGGGGGGAATAAACTTAAAATTGCTATGCAGTTTCTGGTTCCTATGCAGAAAACGTCAATTCATTAATTGAGAGCAGCTTATTTGGCTGATCAGTCACAAAGTCTTTTTCTAGTCTAGCTACTAAATCCCAGTCCTACTGTTTAAAAAATATAATTACTAAATTGACCAATAGGCTTCTCCATAATAATTGTCAAATAGTTTGATTCCATTAACAGAAAGATAGATGCCTGTTGTAAATCCAGTTTGCCACTCCTGTCTCAAAATCCTACTTTCTTGACAACAAAGCAAAAAGTAACTTGTTTTTTAAGTATTCAAAATATAATGAAAAAATAAGTCCTCTCAAGAAAACTATATCAAATGTAGGATATCACACAGCTATGTAAAGGTCTTAGTATTTGTCATAATTTGTTTGGATTTGTTTCTGTGTTATGTGTTTTGCTTAGAAGCTTTCATGGATTATTTGACACTTCTCTGGCAATCTCTTTGTAAATATTTGGAAGAAATTAAACCTGAGATGTGATGGAAAATATGCTTTAAAATATGAAATTCTTACCTCACATGGATTTTATTTGGATTTTAGTAGGAAATCTAACATTTAAAGAAAAATAAATTGTTTAGGAAGTGGTATCCTTTTACTCATTTTATCATATTTTAGCAAATCAGGAATTAGCATCTTTTAGTAAGTGACATGATACATCCAATAGTTTTGCCTTTATGTCATTAGTGTCTTTGCTCCTAACTGCTATGGTATACGTGCAAGTAAACAAGTTTAGTTTTATCTAAAATCTGGGGATTTTTGACATTTTCAATAAAATATTTTTGAAGAAATTATTCTTCAAAGTAGTGTGTCTGTAAATTGATCAAACTTACATTTCATTTCATTATTTCATTCCAAAGTCTGAATTGAATAGATTTGTTTTCACTTTACGTTTAGTACATTTTCGATGTCATCTATAGTGGCCTCATGAACAGAGAATAGTTTACAAGTAAATTAAATCTGTACAAACTACAACTAAATCAAACATTGTACAAGCTGTAGTTGATGTCCTAGATACATATAATTGTTTAATTAGCCTTTCAAATCTAAAAGTATTTGACAGCTGTTTTTAAGGGTGTTGGGAGATATTTGTTCAAAATTGTATACATGTGCAGAAAGTATGTTATTGTTAAAGGTAACATAAGTGGTGAAGGCCAGTATTTCTATGTCCATCTGGGAAAGTAAATTCAGCTAAAAATACCGCAAGGCTGCAATGTAAAATGCAGTGTGTAAACTATTACAATTATACTGTGTTTGACTTTGTTTGAATCAATACTTGTTCCATGTGAGTGTTTCTTCAGGGAAAGAAAGTAATCAAGGCAGAGTTTGATTTATGTATGGATCCACTATTGTATGTTTAAGTATGGTTTATATTTGTTTCACTAAAATGTGTTCTATCAATTTTTCAGTCTCCCTATTTATAACTCTTAATACAGGTAGTCCTCAACCTGTATTAAGTCCAACATCTCTGTTGCTAAGCAAAACATTTGTTGAGTGAATTTTGCCCCATTTTATGACCTTTCTTGCCACAGTTGTTAAGTGAATTACTGCAGTTTTTGAGTTAGTACAGTTGGCAATTGACTCTGGCTTCCCCACTGACTTTATCAGAAGATCACAAAAGGTGGATCACAGGACAAGACAGCTGTCATAAATACGTGCCAGTTGCCAATCATCCACATTTTGATTATGGGGATGTTGCAATGCTTGTAGGTGTTGTAACTTCTTTCAGTGCTATTGTTTCTTCAAACGGTCACTAAATAAACTGTTGTAAGTTGAGGACTACCTGTAGTACAAAGAAATTAGTATACTACTACAAACAAATTATATACACTTTCATGCAGGAACAGTTGAGAAAAAGTTTCATTTGAAGAAATTCTTAAGTAGGATATATTACAAATTCCAACATTCACTTAAGATTTGTAAAGGACGAAAAGGGAAGCAGCAAATAATACAAAAGAGGACTTAATGCAGTCCCTTCAGAGATCTATATAGTGCTGTATTTTTCAACCTTGGCAACTTTGAAGTGTGAACTTCAATTCCCAGAATTCCCCAGCCAGCAAGGTGTTGAAGTCTTACCAAATAAGTCATATGTTTGTATGTTCTGATTTTTGCGCTGATCATTTGTAATGTAGACCAGCAGCATTAAATGTATATTTTAAACAGTATAAACTGTTTTAGTGAAATGTAGATTTATTTTAAAATACATCAGATATTTAAGAAAATAAATTCTCAATATATTCAATCACATTGAATATGTAAACATATAAAAACTATAAATCGAATGTACCCAAAAGTAGCAATTTCAGTAAGGAATATACTTCAAATTCCAGAGTATGAATTTTGATTTTTCCTAATCCTAATTCTTAATCCTAAGAATGGGCAGTTGGAAGTTAAAATTGTGAACACGAGAGCTGCCAATTTCGGAGCGGAGCGCTCCCAAGCCTTTTCGTCGCCTCCCTCCCGTCCATGCCACCCATCTCAGGTTCTACTTCTTGCTTGAGTTGCTTGCTTTAGTTCGGCGGAGCTCAGTCGCGGCCGCTGCCTTGCTCATCTCCCGCTGCTCCTCGTCTGCCCTCCATAAGCGTATCTTTCGAGACGTCTAACGAGCTCCAGAGCTCTCCTCGTTCTAGTCAGCGGCGCCCCACTCGACTCTTTGACTATAAGAGAAAATTCTCGGAAGGTGCCCGGCTCGTTTTCCCAAGGCGTTCCCTCGCTTCTCCACCCCGCTCCCTTCGCGCTTTTCCGGCTGCCCTATTTCTCCATCGCGCTGCGAAGTCCTCCGTGAAGAAACCTTCCATCTCTGAGGCAGAAATGGTTCCGGGTCAGCGAAAGCGGTAGCCGACCTGCCGCGCTCGGGGGCTGCGGGAGCTTCGGAGAAGCCGGCGAAAGGGGCAGTCCGGAGAATTCTGCTGGCTTTCGCCGCTTGAGGCCGGGAAAGGGGTGCGCGCTTGCGCAGAGAGGGAGCTCTGGTGTTTTGGTGGCGGCGGCAATAATAGCAGGAAGCCGCTCACCATCATCGCGTGAGGGGCCGCGATCCTTGGTCGCAGACGGGCCGCCTGCGCTCCCCTTTCTTGGATCCTCGGGAAGCGGTCCCGGGGCAGCTATGTCTCTGAACCAATATGAGAGGCATTACAACTCCATTAACTCCGACTTTGGAAGCGACTCGTCCAGTAGGAGCAGCCCCCGTCCTGCTCCGGGCTTGGGGGGCGAGCAGGAGGAATTGCATTATGCTCCTATACGGGTTTTGGGTCGGGGGGCGTTCGGCGAGGCCACCCTGTATCGCCGGACTGAGGTACGTCGCTGCCCTGGTAGTCTTTCTTCTTCCTTGCATATGTGTCGAGGCCCCGAATCCTGTTGGTTCTTTATTGCCTTTCATATTGAAATCTGACTTTATCAATTCACGGGATTCCTGCTGTTTTAATTGCTTCATGTCTGTTATCAAGAACTTCGATTGACATGAAGGAAGCTGGACCAAAGGCTGTGCCAAATTTCCCACTAATTCCTCCCTCACTTGTTTTTTTTTAATTTTTATTTATTTGCCTCTTTGCTTGACTGTTAAAATTCCTCATTTCTTTGAGGTGGGCCATTATCTTACATTTTGGAAGTTTAAATTGGGGTGGGAGGAGGGGCTGAAATTTTTACAGTAAACTGTATTATGAAAATATATGCAGGAAGATCATTTCTTTTGCAGCTCCAGTTTTCTCAGTTTTCAAAAATGATACAAAATTCTCAGAAAGTTTAAGTACTACAAAATGTCTGAAGAATTTCACCAAAGGGGTGGAATGACTATTATAATAACAAGTGCAATCCATTATTAGCAAATTCAGTATAAAGTGATGCATGCTGAGACAGATCTGTAGTAACACACACACACAAATGGGATTTCAGCTGGTGGTAACTGTATAGAAAAGGGATTTCACCAGAAAATCAATTCTTGATTGGTACAAAAGGCACACGTTCCAAGCTGACATTACAAAAGAGAAAAAAAATATATAAATTTTACAGCTATTCAAACTTACAGCTTGACCACATTTGGTATTGTAAAGCTGAAGGGCAACAGAATAATTAGGAGACTGAAGCAAAGTCTTTTTGAGATACAAATGCCTGATATTCTTTAACTTAGAAAATCGGAAAATATAAAAATGATAGAGGTAGATAAAACAGTGCAAAGTTGGAGTATAGAGAAACTTTTCCATTTCAAAATTAATAATTCACTGATTCTATAGTTAATTCATTAAGTGCTGGTATATCCGGAACAGATAAAAAAAAGCACTTTTTAAGGTTAATTATATTAACCTGTGGGCATAGCACATAGCTAAAAGACATAGTTTATAGCCAAACCGTTTAGTGTTTGATTATGTGCCATCAAGTCATCATCAAATTTTAGAGATCACATAGATTTTCTCCATTACAATCTGTCTCTAACCTGGTCCTTCAGGACTTCACCCATTGCCAGCAGTTCTGGATCCATTGCTACTATAATTGAGTCGATCTATCTTCTCTTTCCTTCCACCTGTCCTAGGATTAGGGCTTTCTCCAGGGAGCTTGGTCTTCACATCATATGTCTGAAATAGGATAACTTGAGCCTGATCATTTATTCCTTTAAATGAGAATTTGGGTTGATTTCAATAAATGATCCATTTTGTTTTCTTGGCTATCCATGGTATTCTTAGGAGGCTACTCCAAAGTTCAAAAATGTCAATGTTCTTCCTGTCCTGCTTCTATGAAGTCCAACTTCCACTTCCATGGAATGTCACAGGGAATAAGTAATTTGAAGGGGTGATCACTAATTGAGACAATTCATATAAGATAAAACTATCAGTAGATAGTGATGGCTCTATGTTGAAGGCAATAGTTCTCTTAATGCAATTGCTGGGAATGACTTGGAGAGTATACTGCAATGCGTATTGGTTCTTCTTTGGCATTTAGTTTGCCATTGTGGAAGGAGCATGCGAGGTTATACTGTACTTTGGTCTCATCTATCTAGTATAACTCTATTGGCTACTCCACAATTACTTTCAACTGCAAACATTTCTGTCTTTTTCTTTTATTGGTTTGGTAGATTTTCATCCAGCTTTTCCTGTTTTGTTTGGAGTATTTTGTAGTTTTACAGATACTCTTGTTGCTACAGTCCCTAATACTTCTTCCATATTCCATAGTTGTTGTCTTTTAGCCATTCTCAATTTTTTTAAACAATTTATTGTGAATCTAAACTTAAGGCCTAAAGTAAGAGCTGTAAGTAAATAAGGACTCAGTACCCTCCTTTTCTAAACCTCTTTCTTTCTACGTATTAGGCATTTATTAATATTAAAGGTCTAATTTGTGCATATCTAAAAATCATGTCTGAACATGGTGTCTTTTTGTGTCACATAGCAAAAATAGCAGCTTCTAAAACAAAGCCCTGACTAGCCTGGGCCCAGATTCAATTTTACCATTTCCAATACTGTATTTAAATAAAATAGTTTAGATATTTATTATATATCTTATACAAGCAGTCCAACTGAGCCCAAAATTTCTGTTGCTAAGCAAGGAGTTGTTAAGTAAATTGTTAAGTTAATCTGGCTTTTCCAATGACTGCTTGTCAGAAGATTGGAAAGATGATCACATGACCCCAGGACAGTGGAACTGTCATGAACATGAAGCAATTGCCAAGCATCTCAATGTTGATAATGGGACTATATAGGAATGATACAGTGGTCGTGTGGGAAAAATGATTGTCAGACACTTTTTAAAATAGTGTTGTAATTGAACAGTCATGAATGAACTGTTCTAAGTCGAGGACTATACTGTTTAATGCCTATGTATATTTACCCATTTTGTATGGTTGTATTATTATTATCCTTCTTACCTTCTTCGCTGCCCCCTCTTATTGGTAGTATTATGATTTTTATTACTCTGTTGCTTTGCATGTACACTGAAAGCTTCTGCATTGGAGACAAATTCCTTGGGTGTCTAATCACATTGGCCAAACCTATTCTATTCTATTCTATTCTATTCTATTCTATTCTATCCATAAGTTAATTAGTTTAAAACCCTGTCATATAGGATCAAATAGTAAAATAAAAAATTCAGCAGTACAAAGGTTTTAGTGAACAAATATTTCTTCAGATGACATAGAAAATGAATAAGGATGGAATTATACATTTGCAGAATTTATTTTAAAAATTTTCTTTCTTTGCATAGAAACCTTGTCCCCTCACTATTTATTAAAAATATATATATGGCCACCCAACTTGAATAATGTGACTCTGGATGGCAATATATTTACTTATATTTATTCTTTTCTTGTACTGGGTTCCCACTGTTTGTCCCAAAACTTCATATACAATTTTTTTTTAGTTGATCATACAGCATATGCTGTTTGGGGATGCATAAAAAAAGCATAGATTCCTTCAGGGAATATGTATCCTCATATAAAAAGTACATCACATAACACTTCATAACTATGCAGATGATGTAGCAAAGATATCAACTGTTATTATTGTTATTATTGTTACTGTTATGAAATCTGATAAATTTGGGCTACATGGATTTGCCTACCAATATATTCTCTTTGGTTTTCTGAGAAAAATGGTGTATATGGTATAATCAGTTAATTAAATATGTATGAAGGTGGAAACATTTTTACAGTTTGTGATTTCAACTCAAACAGTTCCAGGCAGGTCTTTGATTTCTATCTTTATTTTGTAAGGGTGGATAATGTTGGAATACCACATCTAAAATAAAATAATTTTTTAATAGTTCATTTAAGACAAGTTGAAAATCCTTAACATAGCTTCAGTGGCTACCAGAATTAATAAATTAACTGAATAAGATAACCTAGAATCTTATCACAACAATTTGATATTGATACCAAATAGGGATACTCTTTACCAGATAAGTTTTTCTTACTGTTTAAAGTTGAGGTTGGAGTAATAGGTAACTCCTACTCCCTCACCATCTTGTTATGCAATATAGATTATATGCCTGAAAAGCTGACAACATTCAATTATTACTGAAAAGGGAGAAAAGATTAGTTCTTGGAATCAGAAATAAGGAATGGCCATTTGAATCCCATATTTAATTTTTGGATAATTAAAGAAATAAATGGATGATTAAAGAAATAAATGTTTAAGATGCTTGTAAATTATCTGAAATATACATTTAACTAAGCAGGCTTTTTAAATTGCAGGACGATTCACTTGTAGTATGGAAGGAAGTGGATCTTACCAGATTGTCAGAAAAAGAGCGGCGTGATGCTTTGAATGAGATTGTTATTCTTGCTCTACTGCAACATGATAATATCATTGCTTATTACAATCATTTCATGGATAACACCACTTTGCTGATTGAACTGGAATATTGTAATGGTGAGAACAATGTCTTGTAAATAGCAAACTTATCTTCCATCTTGAGTTCTGCAAGGAGAGATGGAACAGAGAGAATCTGTGCTTTGTTTATAAATGTTAGCTACAGGTAGATTGACAAATGCAAACAAAATTTACCTTCTAGGACTGCATTTATATTTCAGAAATATATACTCTGTAGTTGGTGAATAAGAGACACTTAGGATCAGAACTACCTGAAAGAAAGATGTGGTACTAAATATACAGCCAGTTTGAGGAGATTTGCAGAATAAATAGCGAAAAGAAAATTAAAAATACAATGACAAATAATCTTTTTATTTTAAGCCATACATGATTCTCCCTTCTTCTGTATTAAATATTTTGGATTACATTTTTCCTTCCTTGTAAAACTCTGTAATCTTACTTTCTCATTAATGTTACAAATTACTAACATCAGAGGAATCATTATTTATTTAAACTTAAATTTCATTGTTTTCCCAAGTTTATTGAACCTTTATCTGTAACATCTTTTGAGGTTTGGATTAAAAATGGCAGCAGTAGCAAAGAATAGAGCAGAAATGAAAATCCTTTTTTCCTCAGAAAAAATTAGGAAATCATTAACATCCCCTGAGGGATTTTTAATACACAGACAGAGAATGTGTGAAATTTATAACTCAGTATTTTTCTTTCTTGCAGGTGGAAATCTCTATGATAAGATCCTACGACAAAAAGACACATTGTTTGAAGAAGAGGTAATAAAAACATTGGGAGACAAAGAGCAATCTGCTTCTCTTTTATTCAAGCTTGATAATCAGAGTTGGAATGGACCTTGTAGGTCATCTAGTCCAACCCCCCGCCCAAGCGGGAAACCCTAAACCATTTCTGACAAATGGCAGTCCAATCTCTTCTTGAAAGTCTCAAGTGATGGCGCTCCCACAACTTCCGAGGAGAAGCTGTTCCATCGGTTGATTGTTCTCACTGTCAGAAAGTTTCTCCTTATTTCCAGGTTAAATCTCTCCTTGTTCAGTTTCCATCCATTATTCCTTGTCTGGCCTACAGGTGCTTTAGAAAATAGCTTGATCCCTTCCTCTCTGTGGCAGCCCCTCAAATATTGGAAGACTGCTATCATGTCTCCCCTGGTCCTTCTCTTCACTAGACTTCACTTGATTGGCCTTTAATTTGGTTTTAAAATAGTCTTCCTCAATCAGATTACCTCTAGGCATGCTGAACTATAGATCCCATAATTTCTAGCCTGTATAGGAATTATGGAAACTGTAGTCCAATACTTTCAGAAGGGTTCCTCCAACTGTATAGAGGTAGGCAGCAAATAGTCTCTACGGTAAAAAAAAAAAGTTAATATAAACCAAACACCACCAGATTACCACAATTTATGAGTTTTGTAAATACTGATATTTTCTGTTCACTTGTGTAGAAATGTGAATTCATAGGAATTTTGGGGGAAAGTCTTTTTCATATTGAGGTCTTGTGAGATATTTGATAATCTCAGAGATTTAAAAAATAATAATTTAGGGACTTTTCAAATGCCATCAAGAGGCTTGTGAGTATATATATCATGCAAGCATTGCTCTGTCACCCTCCAGCAACTGCTGTAGAGTAAGGAAGTTATGTGGCGAAATTGAAAACTCCAATCTGATTATATGGAGGGTACCTTTCCTATGTCATTGCCTTGCACTAAGGCCTGTAGGAAAGTATACATAACGAGAAAATTTGTATTATGTACATTTTAAATATTTGTGTGATACTATTGATTTTACTACAGATTTCCTGTAGCCTACAGCTTTCATAAAGAATTTGTTTATTATTGCCACAACTCTTAGAATACTTTTCCTCCACATTTCATATTTAAAAGAATGGAGCAATTTTTTCTGCACTCCTAAAACAAATTGCTAAGCAGAAAGATTCATGCATTTGTTTTTATATATACAATTGTTAGGCTATTATATCAGTTTACAGTGTGATGACATATATATTCACTGTGTCCAATGAGGCATATTTTCTGTTCCAAAATACGTTTTGAATTTCAACTTTAGCACTTTCAAGCCATCTTATTTTTAAAAAGCCATTTTATTAAAATAAGATGTTATTAGTCTTTATAATAATTTCTTTCTATGTGAACTTTTTTTTTACAGATGGTAGTGTGGTACCTCTTTCAGATTGCATCAGCAGTGAGCTGTATCCACAGAGAAGGAATTCTTCACAGGTACTTTAACTCAGGTCCAAAAGAAGACAAAAATTCTGACTGTTGACTTGACAGTCCTTTCTCCTAAAGGAAAGACAGATAAATATTGATATATAGTTAAATGAGATTTCCTCAAATTGCATACAACCAGATATATAATATATGAAAGGCCACATTTTGTAGCATCATGCATCTGACAAGCATTTTCATAATATTAACTGAATTACAACTTCATAAATGTAATTCCATATGATATAAAAAGTAATGGATATAATGGAGAGATCAAGTAGGCTGAGATTCCTGTTCTGTAGTGAAGTTCATTGAGTGAGTTTGAGCAAAACACCTTTGCCTAAATATCATCACAAGGCTGTTGTGAGGTTAAAATGGATTGGGAAGAAACCATGCCCATTATTACCTTGAGCTCCTTGTAGAAAAAGCATCCTATAAATGAAATACATAAGTATTATAACTATGAAGTATCCTAGAAGCCAAATATTTAGATTGGCATATTATTTCTTGTAACTATTACTTGACATTTTGTAATTTTGCTTCTTATTAACTTTTTAACCAGTTGATCATAATAACTTTATTCAGCAATTATAAGTGGTTGCATTCTGAAGCCATATTAATTTGACTTTATTTTCATTCTAACTGTCTTTATGAAAGAATGCATTTTCTGAATTTCTTTGGTGATAACACTCTCAAGTAGCAGAGTCTAGAAAAAAATAGCCTTCTTGGAGTAAAAAATGATACAGTTAGAAATACAGGTCTCAGATATTCTTATGTCCAAATTAGTAGGGTTGTAGGGTTCTTTTTAAAGTTAAAGTGTTTGAACACTTTTGTTCTTTTACATGTATGGTTCATAAAAGTTGTAAAGTATTTTTTTAAAATCAAGGATTCTGCCATGAATTTATGTTCTAGTCCTCGTATCTGAAGAAACAACGCATTCTCATTAACTATTCATTGCTTTCAAATAATTAAATCTTGAATAAGATTAAAGTGGTTTAGAAACAAACATATCTGTACCAATTGTAGAAATCAGTTTTACCTTTTTTGCCCTTTTATTTCATTTTCTGCTTATAAAACTAGTATTAATGATTAAAAGGTGTAAGAACCATTCTTTAGGATTGTCTGCATGGTATGGAAACCATTAGATAGTGAAATAGGTTTATCTTTATCTTAAAGGCCTTCTGCACAAGGACCTTTATTCTGAGGTTAAGCTGTACTACCTCTTTTGATCATCGGATTTCTTCACTGGCCCTGGTGTCTTTTCATACATGTTTTCATGCCTTTAACTACCTGGCATTTTGCATCATTAAGAATGATACTACATTAATAATAAAGATGTGAATTAAGTGGATGAAAATTTTTGTAATCATAAAAATTGCTAACAAAGATCATAGTTTGTAATCTCATATATTAATCAAAACTAGACATAGATACATACATACATACATACATACATACATATTCATATAGTATTACATAATTGATTGGTTAGTATTTAAATTTGTTTACTTAATAAAGAAATGAAATTAACCATAAAGTACTATGTGCAATTCCCTATTTTTAAATGATACTCCAGTTGGGACTTCTGATTACAAAATTAGTGTTCAGACATAGACAGAGAAGCAAGTGCTTCTGAGTGTAGTGTAATTGACACAGAGGCAGTAGTTTTCTAAGCTTGTATATATTTTTTTTGGCACTGTAGAAACTTGCACTATGCATTTTTAAACCATTGATATTAATTCAAATGCATATAAGGAATAACAAAAAATATGCTACAGAACAAAATTAATACATGCAATAACTTCTCTTGAAAAAGAGTTATACAATCACATCCATAATAACTAAAATTTGATGGGTTCAGCTAACTGTCAGAAATCTGGTGCTCAAAAAGGATCTCCAACAGTTAACTGAGGCTCTCATATTCTTCCTGAAAAGACAGATAGGTGTTAGAAGGAAATAGCAGGGCCTAGATAATCTCAGCTGATCTTGAAAGGAGCTAAGAGGATCAGATCTGATTAATTTTTGGATGGAAACCACTAGGAAATCCCAAGGCTATAGTTAACCTGGGAAGAACGCAATACTAATACCAATAATTGTTATTATTTATATATGTGTATGTGCCGCAATCTCCCAACATCTCTGGGCAGCTATTAGCAAACAATAGCAAATGCTTTTGGATGGTTGTCCAAGAAAACCACATGACTGTTATCTAATCAGCAATTATAACACTTAGTTTGAGTGAATATTTACCTTTAAATTCAAAGTAATACTTTTTAAAGTTAATCATAATTTTCTATGGACATGCCAAATTAATCTTCTAGATATGTGCTTTATAAACAACATTATTTTTTAACCATCTATAAACCCCAGGCATTTACCTTATCTATTTTTCCTGCTTTAATATGTAATTCTGTGCGTATCTGTCTAGGTCCCATTGAGTTTGACGGGGCTCCCTCTCAGAAAGAAGAATATAGGGCTGCCTCCTCATTGCACTTCAACTTGAAATTATTCTAGTATCTACTTTAAACACAGTACTAGATTGGCCTGCTTTAAAACTAAAAAATAATATCAGCTTGCATCACATGATAAAGTTTAAGAACCTTGAAAATAATGTAAGACTGTACCCATGAAGAGGGTATTAATGCCTTCAGAATACAGGTAGTCATCGATTTATGACCACAACTGAGCCCTATATTTTTGTTGCTAAATGAAACATTTGTTGAGTGAATTTTGCCCTATTTTATGACTTTTTGTGCCACAGTTGTTAAGTGAATCTGGCTTCCCCACTGACTTTGCTTGTAAGAAGGTTAGAAAAGGGGATCATCTGATCCCAGGACACTGCAATGGTCATATGAGTCAGTTGCCAAGCACCCAAATTTTGATCACGTGATCATTGGGATGCTGCCACAGTCGTAAGTGTGAAAAATGGTCATAAGTAACTTTTTTCATGCCCTTGTGACTTTGTATGGTCACTAAATAAACTGCTGTAAGTCAGGGACTATCTGTGTTAACAAAGTGAATATATTTTTTTAAATGTTCCATGTCTGCTGATATAAATATTTATATCTCAATGTTTCTTTCCTAGAGATATAAAGACTTTGAATATCTTCCTCACCAAAGCAAATCTCATAAAACTGGGGGACTATGGCCTAGCAAAAAAACTGAACTCCGAGTATTCTATGGCTGAAACTGTAAGTGGCTGCAGGATGAATGTGATGATGATGATGATGATGATGATTCAGCTGTGTGGGACTTTATAACAAAAGTATCTACATTTGCAATTCAGATATTTGAATTCTTTGAATTTACATGTTTTTCAATAGATTTTTTTTAAAATTAATATATGGCTGCTCTCCTTCCTATAGGCCAGGGGTGTCAAACTCACGCCCCACGGGCCGGATGTGTCACGTGCTGCCCCTGCCCGGTTTAGCGAAGGGGGGAAAAGTCCCAATACGTCACCTGACGATGCCATGACGATGCAAGTTTGACACCCCTGCTATAGGCCTCTAGGAGGACATTTCAGGCCTGGTTCTTTCTCTAGGCATTTGGGTCAGGATCAGCAGAGTCCCCATTGAATGAGTTACATCTAGGAGTTCTAGTCACTGTGTTATTATTAGTTGTTTTTGTCTCTGTTTTGTGTTTGTTGTAACTTTTGTATGCTGTTAGAATGACATTGTTGGAGTTGGGTGATCATATAAATGCTCTATAAATAAATACATATTCCCAAGACTTGTTTTGAAAGAAATAACAAACTGATCATATTATAATCTAATGATAGAATGTTTATGTTGGCATTGGCAAATCTTTTTTCTCTTTGTCCTGTTTGTTTAGTATAATTGTAGAATTGTTTGATATCTTTTTGTTTTGACTATTTGCTTCAGTTTGCTTTCTTTTAAAGATTCAATCTTTATATTAATAAAAAGTAGATGCTCTAGTTATAAATAGGAAAATACATATTTGATAAGATTCAATTATTACTTTTCTATGAATATGCTAAAGCAAAATCCGAGCATTTGGGAGGGAAGAGGATAAAAGGACAGCAAATTAGAACTTATTGCATTGTGTCTGCATGATATGGAATAACTAAGCTAGTATCTCTAATATTTTTGTTTTGTAGCTGGTAGGAACTCCGTACTACATGTCTCCAGAGCTCTGCCAGGGAGTAAAATATAATTTCAAGTCTGACATATGGGCAGTTGGCTGTGTTGCTTTTGAGCTCCTTACCTTGAAGAGAACTTTTGATGCAACAGTAAGTCACTCTATGAAACAACTATGCTTGTGATTAATACTGCATCACCTTTTTTATATCACATTGTCCTATGGTGATTTATTAAGAGAGGGTGACTCCAATTTTAGGTACCATATGACAGTGAAAGTTCTAGGTGAACTATTAAATTCTCATTTAGACATCCCTTTGCCTTTCTGGAGTTGCTTGCTGTCTTGGAATGCAGGTAAAATTGGAATTTATTCAGGGGCTGAGACAATTAAAAATACAGTTTCACAGGCCATCATCTCAGGAAGTTTCTCCTGAGAAACTTTCCATTTATATCCAGCATGGCTGGCTGGGGAATTCTGGGATTTGAAGTCCACGCATCTTAAAAGTTGCCAAATTTGAGAAACGCTGATTTAGATCATTTTGCTTTTTCTTCCTTAGAATCCCTTGAATCTCTGTGTGAAGATTGTGCAAGGAAACCGGGCAATGGAGGTTGATTCCAGCATATACTCTGTGGATCTCATCCAAATGGTGCATTCCTGCCTTCATCAGGTTGGTGAGCTACCTCCATTCTGTGATGGGTTTCTTTGGTTTGAGAGAGAGTGGAGAAAGAGCCTTTGAAACTTTTTTCCAGCTGTCAGATACTAAAAAGTCCTTATCAACCCACTCGCTTTCTCTAGAGTAGGAAATTAAAAGAACTAACAGTGTGGTTTTTGAGAACTATTTTCAGTGTTGAATATTTCCCCCCCTTTTTTAGATTGAATACTTTACTATTGCTTCCCATTTCCCTGTCTTTTCTCAACTACATTTAAAAATCATATACTATAAAACAGAAATCAAATAATGTTTATCTTTCTTTTTTGTTGCCCCACATTTATTGTTCTTTTTTAACCATAAAGAAAGCAAAACTATATAATCTCTTCCAGAAGTAAAAAAAACAAAAACAAAATGTACCTTCCCACCCCAAAGACATATAAAAACATACTGGTTTTTAGCAACTTCTCCCATAATGAATTTTTTATTTCACCTTTTAGACCCACTATCTTTCAGTATGAAAAGAATCAAATTTGACCTTGAAGAATTTTTATTGCAAATAGGAGAAAAATGTATTTTTTTTAAAAAAAAATCAGTAGATATTATAAAAGAAATGAATAAAATGAGACTTAAGTTTACTTCACACACAGAAGTTCAATTTCAGTTTAAAGATGGCCTCTTTTTATTTTCAGCTTTTGAACAGGAGTCTGTCTCTGAAGTCATCAAATATTATGAGCTGAGTCGAGTTTGAGAGGCTGGATTTTCTCTACAGATTAGTTGTACATTGCACATTGAGATACCATAGTCGTCTTTTTTCCTATAGAGATCTACTTTGGTTTTCTGAGTCAAGGTGAAAGGGAAATTTCTATGGTAAAACAGCAAAAGGAAAATTGCTACAATAAATTAGCAAAACCATTCTATTTATCTTTTCTAGCAGATAAATCAAATCTTGACGTTATTCCTCCCCACATGCTGACAAACCCAGCCCCCAGCCTGGTATTGGTATTAACTTTGAAGTCAGTCTCACAGTCCCTCGCTGTTCTTGGCAAAGTGGATTGGCAAATATTTTGGAGAAATAGGTTGGAAGGATTGGAGGAAATGTAGAAGTTATATCTCTTTTTCTGTCAGCAGAAAAACAAGTGTGATAGCACACACTAGTTATAAATTCAGTGAAGATAATTTCGGTTTAAATGCTAAAATAAAATGCTTCATTTAAACACTAAAAAGTTGCCATGCCTTGTTTGGAAATATGTAAGAGGAGAAGAAGACCAGCAAAAGAGATTTAGCTGTCTCTTTGTTATTGCACTCAGGGTTCCACTTTTATTGTTGCTTAGCTTCATAGTTAAGTGTCCTTCTTGGATACCTCCTTGAATACATAAGCACTATTAAACTATCTGAGCTCATTTTATGGCCCTTTTGATTTGCTATGTTTGGGGAAATGGAAAGAGACCACAAAGATGTAACTTATTCATTGCCCTAGATTTAAAGATTTGAAAAATGATCCCTCTCCTTAGGGAGTGATCTGTCACTCACCTCTTTTAGGATCCAGAGAAGAGGCCTACTGCTGATGAGCTACTTGAAAGTCCATTTATAAAGAAGCGCAGAAGGTAAATATTAAACAAACAGGATTTGTGTGTGTGTGTGTGTGTGTGTGTGTGTGTGTGTGTGTGTGTGTGTTAGAAGATACTATACAATCTTGTATTGCCTGATTGTACTGGTGTCTCATGTACATATAGACTATCTCTTGAGCTAACTGCTTTTTTAAAGATTAAATGACACTCTTAAGTTTTTTGCAGCACTGAATTAAAAATAAGAATAAGCATAGGTTATTTAACTTGGAAACTGAGCTGTACATAGGGTTATACAAATTTATTTCAGTTTTACCTGGCTTATCCCAAGCTTCTATTTTAATGTATAAAATATATTGGATTATATTTAGAGAAATAAATGCATGCTAAAAATTATTAGACAATATCCTCTGATTAGTTTTATTTATAAAAATAAAATAGTAAAAATCAGGAGGAGGAGGAGTGCTTTCTAAACACATTTCATTAAAAGGTGTAAGCCTTTATGCAAGCTTATGCAAATCACAAAGACCTATGCCTTTTAATAGAATTTGCTACTAGAAAAGCATGTTACCTGATTCCTTCTGATTTTTGCCAACAGATTTACACTGCTCTCAGTATTGGTCCCCAAATTAAACTGACAAATAAACTCTTAAGTTTGGTCTGGATTAGTGCCTCTAGAAACATAATGTATTATGTTTCTAGAGGGAACACTTTTCCAGAAGAGGTTTTTTTTTTTTAAATGCAGGATGGCAACTTTTGTCAATTTCTTCTTTTCCCTACAACTCTTAAGCAATAACCCACCCACCCACCCACCCCAAAAAAATCCTTGGGAACAAATTTTTGATAACATAGGGGCTGAGGAGAATCACAAATTTACTCCCCCCATTTCCTGTTTATGAGAGCCCCCAATTTACATAGTTAACAACACTGAAGCATGTCCGTTATTTTTTCAGGCTATATTAATCTATACATGTTATGGATATTGTGTATTTCAAGCATTGATTAACACAGCTTATTATGTAGAATTTTCATTATTTACTATAGACAGACATTGTCTGTAGCTTGCAGTACAATTTTATGAAAGGGTTATTTGCAGTATTAAATCATATAAAGATTCCTGTTTAAAAAGCTGTATTGATGCACATTCTTACTGTTTATTCTTCCTGGTAGGGATATGGAGGAAAAAGTTGCACTTCTTAATGGCCCAAACAAACGACCAAGGTAAAGGAATATGTGTTGAATAATAAAACAGAAGAAAATGGTCTCTGCAAGTATCTTAACATGAGCACCTCTCCCAAAAGTGTTAAAATAGCGGTGTTCTTTGGAAGGATCCCTCCAATGGTCCAAAGGCTATCCCTAAGCTCTCTGTGTGTGCATGTGTTTATACAGTGGAAGGGGCCAATCTAGATAATAAAGTAGTAGATATCTGAAGAGTTCTTGCAGGGCGAGTAGGCAAAGCTGATACATCTGCCTCCTTTCTCTCTGTCTCCTCCTTTTCATGGCCTCTGCACTAGCCGGCATCATATTTGTCCTTACCTCTCATAGCTGTTCCCATGCTTGAATTCCACTGCTGCATCTTCATTTCAAATGCAGCATAACTAAAAACAGTCAGCTATCTTTTCTTTCAAGCTTCCCAGGGTCTTCTTTTATTTCCTGTTAGGTATTGCCATCAAATATTGCCATCAGGAATGGTATAATCCAATCAACTGTCTACCCTATTTTCCTAGCACCTTTCCATCCCTTTTGGTGGCACTAACAATGGCTTTGCCTTTCCTCCATTGTCTCGCACCCTGCAATATTTATGCCCAGATGTGTGTGTTCATGCCCAGGCCAAATATACACATTGGAGGTCCAGGTCCTTTGGTTTGAGCACAGACCACAGGCATGTCTTTTGGTCCAAGCATAGATCACCTGAAACTGACTGTTCCTCGCTGAACCTTTTGCATAACTTTTCTTGGTATATAATTACTATAAAAGAATGCTATCTTTAAGACATTTAATTGTAAAATATGCAAGTGTTGAACTATTATAAGTTATATTTAATTTTTACTTTTATTGTTAACCATGCCCATCATTTACTTTAGATTTCTATTTACTTTACATCAGTCCCTACTTATAAATGGTGCTGTATTACGGAACAATTTACATATACAGCTAAAAATGCCAATGATTTAATTTGTCAGTGTATTTGTATACCCTTCTCACAAGTTTATTCATGTCACTGCCTTTAAAATTTCAAAAGTTGTATATGTATATATGTTTTCAGATTGATTTCTGATTTTTATTTGTCTTACAACATGCTGCTTTCTTCCACATTTCCATGCTGTCTGTCTAGCCTCTGAACCTAATACATGCCAATGTACATTTATATATATGGAAAACTCTTAGCACTTATATGAAGTGTTTTTGCATGGAATCTGGAAATTAAAATTTTCCCATCTATCTTCTCTTTAGAGGCTTAGAAAAGCAGCTCATGGTAAACAGTGTATCCATACAGATCTCTTGTGATTTACAGAACAAGTAATATGAATGAAGCACCTATTGCAGTGGTGACTTCACGCACTAGTGAAGTATATGTATGGGGAGGTGGAAAGTCCACTCCTCAGAAGCTGGATGTTATTAAAAATGGCTGCAGTGCACGGCAGGTCTGTGCAGGAAACACTCACTTTGCAGTGGTAACGGTGGAGAAAGAGCTCTATACTTGGGTGGTAAGTATCAAAAGAATTTGGGAAGGTTGGGGGGGATTCTCCAAAACATTATTCTTTGATATCTGCCATCAACGAAGGGATCAAGTGCTACTAGGAATTTGCATCTTGTACTGCAAGGAAGTCATCGTGACAGTTCACATTGGCTTCTCCAGAAGTGCTAATGGTCAAATCTGTAGAGGACTTTCCATTCCAACCAGCACTTGAACTCAGTCAGAAAGGACCTCATGAAAAATAGATATTGAAATAATGCTGGAAATAATATTCAGCCACTACAAATAATAGCCTTATCTTGGAGAAAAAGGCATAAGAGACACATGTATGTGAAGACAATATAAAATGGAATTTAACTCATATTAAATGTTAAGTCATATTAAATCTATGTTAAGGAAGGGATTTTTTCTTGTTAATTCCCAGTTTAATGTTTTGTTTTGATATATACTACATTACTGTTGATATGTGATACTATTACATAAGCAGAAAATACACATCTCTGTTTTTACTGCATCTATGGGTACCTAAATGGTATCCCCCATTCAGTGAGTTTGCATACTATAAGCTGGCTTCCAAATATCAAGAGCTTTTCTCTTTCTCCACCTCCCACATCTTCCAAAAAGCATTCCAAAATTTGGATGGTTATCTGGAGCAATATTCCATAGGATACCTACCAAAAAAAAACCCCTATAGTTATTATTTAGATGCTGAAGGAAAACTAGGCCACTTCTGTGGAAACACGGAGGAATATAGAGGTCTCTCTGGTTCCTAGACAGTCTACATTATTTATTTTGGTTTCTTTTCATTAACAATATTCCTTGGCTCTTAGATCACCTTATCAAATGTATTTTTTTAATAGAACATGCAGGGAGGCACTAAACTGCATGGTCAACTGGGACATGGAGATAAAGCTTCGTATCGGCAGCCTAAGCATGTGGAAAAATTGCAGGGCAAAGCTATTCGTCAAGTATCTTGTGGTGATGACTTTACAATCTGCATTACAGGTGAGAGACATAGGTGACAGGGTACCCTTCAAATATATGTAAAATATTATGGAAGGACTGAAAAAGTGTATTAACTAAAAGAGAAAATACCTCAAATACAAGAGAATATGCAATACTCAGGTATTGATAAATCTGGAAGGAAGACAAACCTGCAGCTGCTGGAATTAGGAAAACTTCCAAAGGCCAACTTATATTTGTTTTGTTTTCTTTGAAATGCCAGTACATTAGCTTTTATATTACATTTTGTGATTGAGTGTATACAATCATTAAAACGAAACAGAAGCAAAGCTTAAAAATATATAGACTATAAGTGGCAGTCTTTATCTATATACTGTATTTTTCGCACTCTAAGATGCACCTGACCATAAGATGCACCTAGGTTTAGAGAAGGAAAATGGGTAATGACAAAGACAGAAGAGGTAGGGTTCAGCACTGTAAAAGGACCCCGCTGTCACGGCCCTATTTTTCGTTCCATAAGATGCACAGACATTTCCACCCACTTTTGGGTGGCGGGGGGAAGTGCATCTTATGGGGCGAAAAATATTGTAATTCAAATATGGGCCAGGCTGTAGGTGTCAACTAAAAAAATACTTCTTTGGTCTTTTTAGTTGCCAGCAGAAAGGGATTGGGGGAAAGCACTGCATTCCTTAAATGCTTCAGATAATTGCTAGGCAGCAGAAGCTGTTGGTGCGCAAGAGTATTACTGGAGAGCATGATTGATGACTCTTGGCTATGGATGTGTCCCATTGGAGAATATACATCCAGGGGCTGGGGGGAAGACCAGGGTCATGGGTGAAATGAACGATATGTTTAGTGTCAGCTGCATCCAGGTAACACTGACATGGTCAGTCCTAATAAATCAAATTTTTTTTACTGTGAGAGATGCGGCTAGAGACTTATGATTTGAATGGGTGTGTATTGTCGGAGCCCTGACAGCCAGCCGACATTAAACACATCATTCATTTCACCCTTGACCCTGGTCTCCCCCCCTCCTGATATATATTCTTCAATGGGACACATCCATAGCCAAGAGTCATCAGTCATACACTCCAGTAATACTCTTGCATGCCAACAGCTTCTGCTGCCTAGCAATTATTTGAAGCATTTAAGGAATGCCCTTCTTTCTCCACTCCCTTTCTGCTGGCAACTAAAAAGACCAAATAAGTATTTTTTTTTTAGTTAACATTAGGATGCTGTAGTAAATTAAGCATAATGGACCTAGCTTGATCCAATTAGGTTGCACTGTAGTTAAATTCTCCCTGTATTAAAGAGGAAGATAACCATTGGATTTTTAAGTACATCCTCTGTTATTCATCTATCCCTTGTTTTCATGCAGATGAAGGTCAAGCCTTTGCCTTTGGTTCAGATTACTATGGCTGCATTGGCGTTGACAAGGTTTTTGGGTCTGAGGTCCTGGAGCCCCGGCAGATCAATTTTTTTTTCAGTAATCCGGTGGAACAGGTTTCTTGTGGAGATAATCATGTGGCAGTGCTGACACGAAATCATGAGGTCTACACATGGGGCTGTGGAGAATATGGTAGGTTATTCTACATGCAGTTTTTAATTTTTGGCAAAGATTAATGACTGATAGAATTATATTTCCTTGAAGCACTATCATGATAGACCAGATTAAATGAGGATTTCTACTTCTGGAAAGGTAGATGGTTGATGGTCAGCTTTCTTTGAATCTGAACATTATTACCTGTACTCATTTTTATTGTTTCTCCACAAATATAGGCCGCTTGGGTTTGGATTCAGAAGAGGATCACTCCATCCCACAAAAGGTAAAACTGATTGAATTTGACTGTATTTCCTGGGTCTCTAGAATAATTCAGTCTTGAGATATTTTCTTTCTAATTCAGCATATTAAGAACAAATATCTATTAAGGTTTTATAAATTAATACATACAAGGGGAAAGAATTTTTGATTGGGAGCCATACAGAGTTAGTTAGAAGATGAGGAAATATTTTGTATTTGGATGAATGGAAAAAATGAAACTTTGATTCTAATTTTGCTAATTAGATACATTCATTGTTATAGGAATGGCTAATACATATTCATAAAAAGTTGAAGTTGTAATGTTATTATCTTATTCTACTGCACCAAAAGAGTCAGAAGTTAGTGTGTTTTTCCCTTTTTCTCCTTTACCCTATATTTCTTTTTCTTCCTTTTTTCCTTCCCCATTTTCCCCAATTTTAATTTTCTTTTGCACTTTATACAAAATTATTTTTAAAAAGGAATATGGGTGACTATATAAACATTTTAAATGAAAAGAGAACAATATTCTGAATACAACATCTTTCCATATGACTCTATTTTACCTTCTATATAAAACAGATGATAGATAGAACTACGCTGATCAAAAAAATAAAGGGAACACAAAAATAAGACATCCTAGATCTGAATGAATGAAATATTCTTATTAAATACTTTGTTCATTACATAGTTGAATGTGCTCAATTGGATAGATGTGCTCAATTGGATTCAGGTCTGGGGAACGGGCGGGCCAGTCCATAGCATCAATGCCTTCATCTTGCAGGAACTGCTGACACACTCCAGCCACATGAGGTCTAGCATTGTGTTGCATTAGGAGGAACCCAGGGCCAACCGCACCAGCATATGGTCTCACAAGGGGTCTGAGGATCTCATCTTGGTACCTAATGGCAGTCAGGCTACCTCTGGCGAGCACATGGAGGGCTGTGCGGCCCCCTAAAAAAATGCCACCCCACACCATTACTGACCCACTGCCAAACCAGTCATGCTGGAAGATGTTGCAGGCAGCAGAACGTTCTCCACGGCGTCTCCAGACCCTGTCATGTCTGTCACATGTGCTCAGTGTGAAGCTGCTTTCCTCTGTGAAGAGCACAGGGCTCCAGTGGCGAATTTGCCAATCTTGGTGTTCTCTGGCAAATGCCAAACGTCCTGCACGGTGTTGGGCTGTAAGCACAACCCCCACCTGTGGACGTCGGGCCCTCATACCACCCTCATGGAGTCTGTTTCTGACCGTTTGAGCAGCCACATGCACATTTGTGGCCCGCTAGAAGTCATTTTGCAGGGCTCTGGCAGTGCTCCTCCTGTCCCTCCTTGCACAAAGACGGAGGTAGCGGTCCTGATGCTGGGTTGTTGCCCTCGTACGGCATCCTCCATGTCTCCTGATGTACAGGCCTGTCTCCTGGTAGCGCCTCCATGTTCTGGACACTACGCTGACAGACACAGCAAACCTTCTTGCCACAGCTCGCATTGATGTGCCATCCTGGATGACCTGCACTACTTGAGCCACTTGTGTGGGTTGTTGACTCTGTCTCATGCTACCACTAGATTGAAGCACCGCCAGCATTCAAAAGTGACCAAACCATCAGCCAGAAAGCATAGGAACTGAGAGTTGGTCTGTGGTCACCACCTGCAGAACCACTCCTTTATTGGGGATGTCTTGCTAACTGCCTATGCTTTCCACCTGTTGTCTATTCCATTTGCACAACAGCATGTGAAATTGATTGTCAATCAGTGTTACTACCTAAGTGGACAGTTTGATTTCACAGAAGTGTGATTGACTTGGAGTTACATTGTGTTGGTTAAGTGTTCCCTTTATTTTTTTGAGCAGCGTAGTATTTTACATAACTAACCAGGTACATCTGCTGTGATTATCTCCATGATTCTAGAATAAGAGTTATCCTATCCTTGCTTTTCTTTTAAATTGCAAATAGTAATTTTTGAAGTGCCAAATTGATATAAGGTTTTTCTTATATGTGTTCCAAGTGTTATCTGTAAAAAAGTATTTGTCCTTTTTCATTTAACTTACTGTATGCAAGTAGTCCTTGATTTCTGACCAGTTGCTTAACAACTGTTCATAGTTATAATGTCACTCCCCGCTCAAAAAAAAAAAAAAAAAAACTACTTAATGGCTTGTTTTCAACACCCTGCAGGCACATGATCACATTTGGCCACTTGGTAGCCGGCTCACCTTTATGGTCACTTGCTGAGTCACCTGACTGTGATCTTTGACTTTTTTTGCCATTTTCTAGTGTTAACTTCAATTTCTGGTAAAAATGCCCATTGGGGAACATTGACTTGCTTAATGACCACACCATTTGTTTAATGACTGTCGCATTCATTTATTGATTGCTGCAAAAAATCTGGACCAGTCATGTGATGCCTCAACCTGCAACTGCAACAACATGTCTAATTCTCGGCTCAATTATGGTTGTAAGTTGAGGATTAACTGTATAAGTTATATTTCAAATTGCTGCAATGGATGACAGTTTGGCTTTATTTTGTAAATCCTCATTGTATTCTGAATAGTGACTTCTTGTCACTAAAGCTTTTTCTCTGTCATGTAGCAGACTAGAAGGAAGGGCTTTGATACTTTCCACAACTGTTGTTTTCTCATTCCAGGTGTCAAGAAACTAACATCTTCTATATAAAAAAACCCAGAGTCTCTGTTGGTTGGGGCTCTGCAGCAACTGCATTTAGTTGTTGAGGTATCTTATGTATTTCTTTTTAGGTAGAAATTCAAAAAACTTCCAATATTGTCTCAGTCCAGTGTGGCAATGATGGAACCTTTCTCCTCACACAAGCTGGCAAGGTGTTGGCCTGTGGTCTGAATGAATTCAACAAGCTAGGCCTGAACCAATGCACTTCAGGAATCATTAATCATGATGTGAGTGGCCTTGTATGAAAATAGGGGGAAATGTTTTCATGACACATTTTATAAATATATTTTTTTAAAAATCATAACAAATATTTGTTAACAGATTGAAAAGAACCAAAGGAGGGCAAATGAATATGGTTTACAATTTCTAGAAATAATTTTATGTGTGTTTGGAAAAGTCTATACAAAAACCAATAAATACTGCTTTTCTTAACAAAGAATCTTGTGATATTAAGACATTCTCAAGCTTTACGTGCATCGTTCTTGATTAAGGTGTGAGGGCATGTACAGAATCACGGCATTGGATTTATAAAATTGATGTCTTCTCATAGGCTTACCAAGAAATCCCATATGCTACGACTTTCACTTTGGCCAAGAAACTCTCTTTCTACAAGATTCGCACAATTGCCCCAGGAAAGACACATACTGCTGCCATCGATGGTAAGATCAAGTTATTATCTTGTGATGTAGTTTGATTTCTAGATAAGGGTAAACTAACCTGTAACTTCAGTAGGCTGCAGCAGATTAATCTCAGCAGTGTCAGTTTTGGGTTATTACTCATATGTGACAGCCTGGGAATCTTAAAGCTATTAAGTAAACTGGGAAGTTATAGAATAAAACAAAATATTGGAAGAAGGTAATGCAAACCATCCCAGTAGCAATGAGAGGCAACTGCATGATGCAACCACTAAGAGTTATAGAGTGATAGCACTTAAAGATTTCTACTTGATCGGGAAAAGAGATGATTTGAAATTGTATATAACACAGGTGTCAAACTTGCCACGTCACGTGATGTTTCGTGATGTTTTCCCCATTTGCAGAATGGGTGGGCATGTCCTGTGCGTGACGTATCCAGCCTGTGGGCCACCAGTTTTAACACCCCTGGTATATAACATAAAAATGATTAGAGTGCCTCAGGATTCTCTCTAGTAAGATTGTCTTCTACTGACCTTGGAGTCTTGTGACTTAATTATACCTACACGGTCAGTGGACTAGAGCCATTTTGTTTTCAAAATTCCAGATGGGCCTGTGTCTGAATTAAATTATCTTGATCATAATCAACACGTGTGAAACATGTATGGTGGTAAAGATATGATGAAATGATGCCTGTTACCTATTAGAAATGCTTAAGATGAATGTATCTCTTGTCATGCTACCATGAAAAGGAAATCTATAATCCTAGAACAAATAATGATGAAGTGTTCTAAATGATGTCTTGCACTATAGCTCACAACATATTATTTGACAGTGTTTCTCAGCTTTCTGCATTATTAGTTCCTAATGACATAATTGTTTTTATTTCAGAGCGGGGTCGTCTGCTTACTTTTGGCTCCAATAAGTGTGGACAGTTGGGTGTTGGGGATTATAAGAAGCACCTAGGCATTAATTTACTAGGAGGGCCTCTTGGGGGGAAACAGGTCATCAGAGTTTCTTGCGGTGATGAGTTCACCATAGCTGCTACTGATGGTAAGTATAAGCATTAGTAGGTTGATGTGAATTTCTTTAAACTGAATCTGTAAAGAATCAAAAAATTGTTTGCTTAGAGATTATAATAAAAAAAATCTACACTGACTGGAAGGCATAAAATACGTGCAAGATATTACAAGACATGAAGTATTTTTTTTGCTTTTAACATAAAATAAAACCTCACAAAACACCATATTCCTGTAGGAGTGTTTTTTTCACTGTCTATTTTTGGTTGTTATTATATCCTTAAAGAGAAATAAATATAATCATTTGGGAATCCTTCAAACCTAGAGTGGAGTTCTTGACTTTAAGACGATAAACTTTTTATTTTCCAGATAACCATATATTTGCATGGGGTAATGGAGGGAATGGCCGTTTAGCAATGACACCAACAGAAAGAGCTCACAGTTCTGATATTTGTACATCATGGCCACGGCCCATTTTTGGCTCCTTGCATTATGTCCCAGATTTATCTTGCCATGGATGGCATACCATAATAATTGTTGGTAAGTATAAAAATACTGGGGGTTTAAAGTAGATCATGACTTAATTTTTCCCCCAACTGTAAGATTTAACACATTACTAAGAATGTAAGAATGGGCCTAAGATTTCCCATATTCTTTAAATCAGAGGTCTCCAAACTTGGCAACTTTATGATTTGTGGACTTCAACTCCCAGAATTCTCCAGCCAGCATAGCCAAGTTTGGAGACCCCTGCTTTAAATCTTGAGCTGAGAAAATGTTCTTTTTTTTCCAGAAAAAGTTATAAATTCTAAAACCATCCTTCGCTCCAGTAGCAGTGGCCTGTCCATTGGGACTGGTAAGTAATCATGTTGTTAATAATACATACTTCTCTGTTGGGGTAGAAGATATAAGAATAATTTAGAAGAATAGCACATCTCTGCATAAAGTTCAATCTTTGGCATAGACAACTGATTAAGTTGTTGCTTTGAAAGTCACTTTGTTACTGGAAGTCATAATTATCCCAGTATAGACTGTAATGAGCTAAGATATAACTGCTAAATAGACTAAAGGCCTTACTATACGAGAATTTATTCTGATAAATCACTTTAGCAGCTTGTTTTTTGCCTTCATTTCATTCATTGGACAATAAATAAAATAATGCAGTTGTTGCCTTGTTGCCTTGTCTGATATAATAATATAATATGATTCTAAAACTATGATCACATTAAGGTGAATTTAATAAAGTGCAATTTGCCTGGATAGAAGAGGTCCAGAATTGGGTAGCAGGCCATCTTTGGAAGACAATTGATATTTTAAGAAACTAGCTACTACAATATTATAGGTCTTTTCAGTCTTCTAGATTTCATTTAATTGCTAGAATGAAATGATGCTTTCCCTAACCAATGTACCTTGCTAAAACACTTCAGTTGCTTGGAATAAATTTTAAATATTTGTAGTCTCTTTCAGAACATTCTGGCAGATATGAATTCTATGGAATCTCTGCTCTTTTTGTGAATGCTTTTCCCCCCACCAAATTAGGTTGGCATTAAAACAAGGAAACTGAGTATAATCTACACAATGGTTACAATATGCATTTATGAAAATGATCTAAACAGAAATTGTTGGGAAATTGTTGGGCCAACTGAATACATGGAAAGTATTCCATCAGTTAGAAATAATGATTGAAAACACAATATATACATAATAGGATGTACATTTAAAAAGATATTTTGATGATGTAAGGGGTACATAGAGAGCAGAAAGTGATAAATAAGAAATAGATGAAGAAATTTAAAACATAGATATTTAAATTCAATAAACTCTTGAATGAAGAATAATACCTTCCTTTTTCATGAGGTGATTGTGTTCTCTGCCACTTCAGCTAACTCAACTGACAATGATCGGTCTTACACTGAATATGGAACAATAGAGATCAACAAAATTAATATATAGAAATGTAAAATTTTTAAAGGGTGGGGAAAGAAAAAGATAGCATAGTTAAGAAGAAAAAGTCATTAAGAGAAAGTTGTTAAATTGGAGATTTACAATCATTTGCAAGGATTTTCAGAATCAGGAGTTTGGTAGCTCTCTTTCAGACTAACGAATGTTATTAAAGCCATACGCTTTTATGAAGTTTGGATGTATAGGGTTATCATCATGGTGGCAGTTCCTCACTGAACTGTGACTGGCAACTCGGTCACTAAATGATGTAAAACAGGGGTGTCCAACCTTGGCAACTTTAAGACTTGTGGACTTCAACTCCCAGAATTCCTCAGCCAGCTTTGCTGGCTGAGGAATTCTGGGAGTTGAAGTCCACAAGTCTTAAAGTTGTCAAGGTTGGACACCCCTGATGTAAAACGTCATGTCTACCACAATAGCTGGAATTTCGAGAATCAGCTATAAATCCCTTTGTTCAGTGCCATTGTAACTTTGAACAGCTGCTAAACAAATAGTCATTAAGTGAGAACTGAATGGCTGAGTCAATGGTTTTTGATTTTGCATTCTATCATAAGGATACTTTTGTCTTTTTACATCAACTCCATTCTGACAGTAGTATATACTGTACATTTTCAAGAAGGTCAGATTTTCTTGAAATGAGAAAATATTTAAGATTTTTAATTCCTTCCACTTTTCTGTTAGTGGCCCAGGGTTCTACAGCTGAACCAAATGAGGAAGAAGAAACTGAACAGGATTCTGAGAGCCCTGATAATAGCAGAGGCTTCCGGAGAACTATGGAAGCAGATTGTGGAATGGGAGATCAGATCAGCACCACAGAAGTAGCTGTAGATAGCAGTGGTGCTAGCAGCTCCTGTCCTAGTTGGCTGCGCAAGGTAACTCACTGTTAACTGTGATTAGAAAAAAGGAAAAATAAAACTTTTTCTAATAATTGTCTTGGAATTAATGGCTTTTTCCAAAATATAAATGGTCTCAATTGGCATTTTTAAAAACCATAATGAAAAATTTAGCAGTAAATTTTCATTTTTGAGAGATTTTTATCATAATTTTTCAGTGAAATAAGAGTTAGAGTGGACATCTTAACTCTGTGGAAAGCAACAAATCCAAATTTGGGCTTGTACAAAATTATCAGAATAAAATTATTTTACTATTATGTTTGATATTTTCTTCTAATTTTGTACTTTAAAATGACCCCTTAAAAATTAATATTGAAGGAGATACAAGCATTTAAAAAAATGAGAAAAAGCTGAAACAAGTTAGTACGATTGTATACAGTATTTAGATACTGTAATTTACAACCCTGAAGAGTAGAATAGAATAGAATAGAATTCTTTATTGGCCAAGTGTGATTGGACACACAAGGAATTTGTCTTGGTGCAAATGCTTTCAGTGTACATAAAAGAAAAGATACATTCGTCAAGAGTCAATCATAAGGGACAACACTTAATAATAGTCATAGGGTACAATAAGCAATCAAATCATACTAGGAAACAGTCGTTAGTTAGAGTAGTTAGTTTCTCAACAGTTGAAACAATTATTCATTGTAGACAGTATTTCTTTTGATAGGAATGGGATATTGAATTCCATTTCATTCAAAATATATCTCAAAGAATGTACTCTTAATTAGTGTGCTAATATATCTAATGCAACATCAGCAGTTACAATTCACCATCCTCAACGTATTAAGACAGCTAAAAGAAAATGTTAACTTTTTAAATAATTAATTGGTCTTCTCATTCTTATTTCTTTTGTAACATCCAACATAAGCATGTTGGATATATTTATATTCTTATTTGCTTGCTCTCTTTGTGATATAGGAGCTGGAGAATGCAGAGTTCATTCCAATGCCCCAAACCCCTTCTCTTGAAAGCTTAGCCTCTTCCAGATCTGACAAAGAAACTTTTCCCTACAATGAACTAAAAGGACTCCATATGCCTTCGCCCACACCTGTTGACAGTAACGAATCAAAATCAGAGTCTTGGGTAATGTAAACATCTATAAATATATGGAAATAGTTTATGTAGTTTTGGTTCTGGGTTGGAGGAAGGAATAAGGTGCAAAATGAAAAGCTTTAAAAAATGTTCATCTAAGAGATGAAGTAAGATACATGAAATTATTAGGCTAAGAGGATCTAGATAACTGAGAAGGAAATACAATTCAAACTCATGTATGAGCATGTAAGCTTTTAAGGTTGGATGACAGAAACTATTCCCCTCAAAACTATAAATAGAGATTTTAAAGAATTGTGTAAGGGAACATTTCGTTCTACCCTTATCATAGTTTCACAAAATCTGATTTTATCTTTTATGATTGTAAGCTGCCCAGAGTTACCTTGAGATAAGTTAGATGGCCCATAAATTTTATGAATAAATAAAACTGGGAAGACAACAAATATGAAAACAGCATTAAAAGAAGCAGAAAGATTTACAAAAATGATGAAACCTTCCTCATTCCCAAAGGAATATATATTTCAGGTTTATAGCTAGAACATTGGCAGAGATTTGCTAATTAGCTAATATTCTAAAATCATTTAGTATTTTGATCTGTTAGGCTTTTAGTAGTTCTAATCTCCCAGCTATGATTACCTATAGTGATGTGGAAAAGCATTGATTTTCAATTTTCTATAACACTTACTCATGAATGCGCTCGATTTTCTTTTTACAGCATCTAGTCTTGGATTCAGCAGAATCCTGTGATAGAGGGAAATTGCCTGTGACATCTGAATGTAAATGCAGTTTTCTGCAGGCTGAAGTGGAACGTCTGAGTGGCTTAATATCAAAGTGCTTGGCAGATCAGGAAAAATTACAGCAAGAAACTGCCCGTCTTAATGCCCAGCTACAAGTTCTCTCTAGGCGACAAGGAACACACCAGGTAATTTTTTAACTGGAAAAAGCTAACAATTACTTTCTAGAGTCAACAATACCTACACCTCCAAGCAAATCTGATGGAGCCTCAGTCACCCTAATTAACTGCAGCTTCTGAATGCGCTTCAAGGACAGCCCCGTGTAAAGCACATTGCACTTTCCCAATTCAGGAGGTGATTAAGATGTGCATGACTAGGAACAGATTGGCACACAACACAAAGTTGTACAAAACTGCTCTTGGCCATGATGGCTTGTTCCTCAAACAAGATTTAGGAATCCAGAATGACCTCCAAATTGCACATTGGTTCTGTTTGTGGTAGTACAAAAACTGTTCAACACTATTGTCTTTAGGATGGCTTATTTAAAGGATAGTAAAACCACCCCCTGGGAAGCCTTAGTTAATCAGTAGGAACATGGGATTTGAATATACAGGTGGTGGCTAAGCTAGGAATCCCTAGAAGCCTTTCTTGGAACCCTAATTCATCAGGACTAACAGAACCAAATTCCACCCAGATAACTACAGATTAGGCATTCACCTTCATAGGACCTACTTCAAAGTTGGAGTTCAATTTGGAGCAAATCTGAGTTAATTTATCTGACATTTGTTACAGAGACTTTGCAAGTAATCCTCTGAAACAGCTCTTTCCTGAATGGCCCCAGTTATTTTAAACAAGTCTTGAGTGCTTATTCAGCCTAATTGGAAGCAAGTGGAACTTACTTTATAGCATGTTTATTTATATTTCCCTGCTGAAACAACCAGGATGCTGATAGGATGATACCTTAAAAAAACACACTGGCTTTTCCCCCATTTTCTATGCCTTTTCAGAGCCTTAAAGAATAGAATAGTGTAGCCAACATTGAGACACAAACTAGTTCATAAATAAGCTCCAGCTGAGCAGTTTTATGGGAAGTTTATATTTCAGTAGTATTTCCTTGACAATCTGAGCAAACAACTGTTAGGCCTTCCATGACATTTTATTCTTAGTACATATGTGGAATTACAGAGATCAGAAAGCTATTATGGTTAAACTATCCAGTTGAAAACATTCCATGTTGTACTATTGCCGGTAGATTTTTTTTCAATTGTGAATATGTTTTCTTTTTAATCTGAACAGCTGGAATCTCATTCCAAAGCTACACAAACATCCAAAGAAGAGATGGAATCAGATCCAAAGCCTGACTTGGATTCTGAGTCCTGGTGTCTCCTTGGAACTGACTCATGCCGCTTTAGCCTGTAGTCTTGGAACTTATTCATTTTCAAACAACATTAACTACATGCAGAGAACAGCTTTCCTAGATTCAGGTCTTTTGTGAACAATGAAGTCAAGAGTCTCCATAGCCTCGATGTACACAAGAGAGGAAGTGTTGCCTTAAGCTATGAAACTAGGAGGGAATTTAGAGAGTGTGTGAACACTTAAATCCAAACCAGAGTCTGTGCAGGTATGACAACAGTGAGTTCTCTCAGTGTATTGTTGAGTCAATAACACCCTTCCCAGGAATGGTTCCAGCAGCAGCACTTCGTTTATTTCCTAACTTTCAAAGAACAGCATTGAATCTGCAACAGTATTCACTTCATCTTCAAGCAATTCAAAGATGAAAAATTATTGAAAAGAGAAAGCCAGCAAACACCTACATTGACAGTAAAATTGAATGCTCTGAGTTGCTTTTAGCTGATAAAGTTAAAGGAGAAGCATCTTAGTCTCTAAGAATGAAGTTTAAAGAAGGGGAAATACTTTAAAAAAATAGGTGAAAGCATCCTAACAAGAAAAGCTATTTATATTCATTTCTAAACACATAGGCATGACTCTGCAGATAACTTATAGTTTCAGGGATGTTGGAGAAGGACATCAAGCACCCCTTTTTTTCCATTGCCTTTAGGCATTGTTCAAATGCAAAAGAACTGGCTGAACTCTTTCAGCTACTCTTAAATCTCTAGCTCTAGAACTCAACAAGCACTGCTTTTGAAGTCAGACAAAGAGGGATTGGAATTTGAAATCAGATACATTTATGACTTGACTCATATTATTCAGTTATTGGCCTGAATTCCAATAAGAACTATGGAAAACCTCTTCTTTTTGCCCTAAATCAGTATTTTTGCTTCCTTTCAATACTTCATGAAACTGGACTTAAATATTGCTTTTAACAAAGTATGTGCATCAAATATAGTGGTCACAATTATCATGTATCACTTCAGAACTTCTTCTCTAGTATTATTACTAAACTATGCATGAAATTTTTTTGAATGTATGTTGCTTTATTTTTCACATTTAAAAATGAAATTGATATTTTTGTTGATATTTTTGTTAATTATCTTACTCCTTTGGCATAGATATAATTTTTAAGAATTATTTCTGCATTTCTCTTTACAGTAGTATGGGGTTAACTATAACTTTTAGAAAAAGTTCTTTTGTATGCTTGTTCCCATTATTTTATTTGGTAGGCCCTTGATTTTAATCACATCATCTCTTACGTATTCTATAATTTTACCAGACTGAGAAAAGAAGGGGAAGAGTGTTAAACCAAAATTTGGTCTGTTAAAATATTTAATAGATCATTATGCCATTTGGTTGATTTCTTGCCCTCCAAAAATTACTGAAGTTTTTTTCACCCCATATGAAAATACTGTTTCAACAGAGGTTATCTTTTTATAAAAAAGAATTATGTTGGGGCTACATCTAATAAAAAAATCATGGAGCAGATGAGAATCACTATTTTACAAGAGCACTGTTTTTATTTCTCAGTACTCTACAATTGGAGTACTAACTCACTGTACTGAGTGGTGATCACTCAGCAATACATGTGTGCCTTTAAACATAATACTGTCCAAGTTGTGCCTGTTACAGATCCTGATATATGCCCCAGCCATGCTATGCAACCAAAGCACAGATTTTGTCCCACCTAAAGGATGAAGGGAAAATGTCAAAGTGCCTTTGAGAAGTCCATTTCCCTTCTCCCTTTTTAGCAGTGTTAGTTCTTAGATGATGGTTACTTACTAGCATTGCTGTTGATCTATTGAAATTCAATGTATGAAAATTATTTTGTTGTAATCTGTTTTTCTAAAATGCAATAGTGGAATGGTTTGATGTTTTCTGTTTAAATAAATTTTGACACTCAATTGTTTCTATCCTGCTTAATTCTAATAGAAATTGAAGATATTTCAAGGAAAACATTTGAGACTGCTTGATTCTACATTTATCATGATCAGACATGGTCCACATTTTCACAGGCAATATTTATCTTCCTTCTGCTACTGCTGTTTTTTGAATATTTTCAGTAATGGGTGCTGCTTTATTTTTTAGAAATTCTACTGAAAGATATGAAAATCTTATAGCACTTAAACCAACCATTTTTCTGTATATATTATGTTGATTATACCTTTTAGTCCTTTCAGCTTGTCATTATGGTCATACAGATTGTCTTCATTTAACAACCACTTCATGATGCAACAACTTTGAATTTATGACAGGGCTAACTGAGTGGTATTTACAATGGGTCCTCAAATTCCAGCCATCCCAGCAATCCTATGTTAATCTGATTGCTATTTGTGACCTTCACTGGCTTCCCACAAGCAAAGTCAATAGGGAAGCTGGCAAGGAAAGTTACAAGTCATCCAGTAAGTCACTTGCACTCTTTGCCCCTGGTGCACTCTTACTGCACCATGCAGATCACACCCCACAACCAGCAATAGACACCCCCACCACCTGCACATTCTCTGTTCAGGAACAGCCACCCAGGGTCTTGCTGTGCTATACCAGCTACCTGTGTATCTTCTGCTCAGCAGCAGCCAAGCTACCTGGGACTTACTTAACAACCCGTGATCCTTGCTTATATAGCAACAGAGCATATGGGCCATTACTAAGTGATGTCGCATTATATCATGCTCTGTGACATTACTTAGTAATGGAAAACTTCAGTCCCAATGATCATCATTAACGGAAGACAGCTTATATCAAGAATATAAATTATACAACACCAATCAAGATGAGTAGCACATATCAATAACTTACATTCATTTGATATTGATTGGATCATACATAATTAGGCTTGAACAAAGAATACTGATAAGACCACCTTTCATTTATATAATAGTGTGTCTTGAAGAAAAACAGCTACATATCAGATAATTGATAAGGGGATTACATACCACTTTTTGGTTCCTGAGTATTGGGTATACAAACTTAGAAGATAAAAACCATTATAAAGTAGAAGAACCAGTACTATTCAAGCTCTGCTAAAATATACCTTTCTGGAAAATACATTAATCACTTCAGAACAGGTTAATGCATCTGCATGTTTGATTTAGTCATAGGGAAAAGACAGGACACAATTTCTTTGGGAAGTTTGGACATTCTTATGACTTCATGATAGTAAATCTGTTTTCGGCAACTTCAGAAAACAACATGAAAAATAATATGGAAGAGGAGAAATCTCTCAATATTTAGTTCAAGTTCATTCAACATACACTAGAATTATGAAGCACCACTTCTAATAACTTTTTTTTAATCACCAACCTGTGCCATTTTATTAAAAAAAAACTTTGAAAAGATTGTCTATTTATTGATCCTGAACAAATAGGAAAAGCATGCTGCAGACCCCATGAGGTAAATAAATGTTTTTAGGTGGAATCAAGGAAGAAAGCCTTTTCTGCCAACACACCTGCTTATGGAACATTTTGCCCCCTAAGATGAGGTTGGCTCCCCACTCTTCTGGTTTTCCAGAACAATAAGACCTGGCTCCATTAGCATGGGGAACCTATGATGGCATGCAACCCTGGGCTTCTAGCCTAGTGTCTTAAACACTAAGCCAAACTGGCTCTCTTTTTAGCTTCTTAACTTTGTTTTTTAACATTGTCTATTTTTGTATAGATGTTTTTATTTGTAAATTGCCCTAAGACATTTAGATAGTGAGATGGGGTGTATAAATTTGATTAATAAAAATAAAATAAGTGAGAATATGTAACAAATATTGCAATGGGTGATATATCATTTTAAAAAACATTTCGAGGTTCAGCTTAGATATACAGCATCCAAAAAAGGTCTTCATGCAGAAATCTTTTTCTTACTGTATACATTAGACTTATCCATATTAAAAAACTATAGGTCAGCTTTCTAAAAGACAAGGATGTGGTTCAAGGGAAATAAAACTAACCACTGCCTTCTCCCCAACACACATTATTTGAAATAACTTAAATCTATGTATGGTGCAAAAGACTTATAAAAACTTTCCTTTCTGAAGCTGGGTAGAAAAATAAGAACAAGAAGTTGGTGAAAGCCAGGTTTCCTGCTCAAATCCATTTGACATTTTGCTAGCGACATAGAATAATAGAACAGAGTTGGAAAGGATCTTGGATATCTTCTGGTAGCTCAAGCAGGAAATCCTATACCATTGGTCGTCCATTCTCTTCTTGAAAATATTTAGTGTTCCATTAATTGTTCTAACTGTCAGGAAAGTTCTTGGTGGTTCTCTCCTTGATTACTTTCCATCCATTGCTTCTTGTTCTATCTTCACATACTATACTGACAGTGTGTTACGCAAAATTTGTTTCCAAACAAAGCATTCATCGATATGTTTTGACTTTCAGCAAATACTACATTTGCCTTTGCAAGCAACTTAGATTCTACATATTTTATTATAGATCATGTTTGTTGCCTGAAGACAGCTAATATGCTTATAAATATATTTATTCCATTTGTTTGCTGATTGTTCTGGTTGACCTATTCCCAAATATTTTCACTGATCTTAAAGTTGCATAGAGCTGAAAATCAGGTACTACAATTATGCTATAAAAAACAATCCATCCAAACTTCCAGGTTTTTCTACAGCAATTTGTATAGATTACTTTAAAGTGAGGAAGACTAACCTTATGTAACAAGAAACAAAACTGACTTTAAAGCTTTTCCCAGCTAATGTAAATAGTAGTACGTAATGCAATGAAATAACCTTTACTCTTCTTCTCCAGCTATCATTCTAAAATTTAAATAGGAATTTTCTAGAACATGGGTGCTTTTTGTTATGGTACTCAGCAAAGAAATGATATCTGGCAGCTCATACAAGAAATAACTGATCTCAGATGCCATCAAAGAGTCACAAGTATAGAGCCATGATTTATAAGAACTTCATATTTTCTTCCGATTTTTAATAGGCCTTTTTGCAGGGCCCTTCTTCTATGTTCTAAGAAACGGACAAAAATTCCACTGCAAAATATGCAAGGAATCCCAGGGAACCATTTTTACAGAATACAAAATTTCAAGATGATAAAAACAAAGCCACTTTTTGTCCGTCTAGGTGCTTTGACCTGTAATATATAGGGGTTAATGATCACTTAAAATTAGTGGATTTCTCATTGGTTTTACACTGAAACTGCTTCTCTATAGCATCAAACAGAAAATTGCAAGAAACACCAGTTGTAGATGTCATCTTGTCCATTTGCTAGCAATGTTTTTTTTGCTGTGGTGGTGGAGGTCTATTTTTAATGTTCTTGCACTTGGGAATATGTCTCTCAGCAACCTTAGGTGCAAACTGACGAGTACAATATGGACACAATTTGTAGTCTGGGTTTTCCATAGCTGGTGCTGGAGGAAGATCTGAGGCCTTTCCCCCTTTGGAGATGATGCGCTGCACTTCACGAGCCCTGCGCAAAGTCTTGATGAAAGAGTCATGCTTCTGTCTCCAGTTGCTTTGTTTAGATGTAGCATTGCTTTGCTTGGGAGTATCAGGACTTGGGCTGGAAGTTTTTCTCTGCAGCAAGAAGGGGAAGTGGGGAAAATAATTTAAAATAATTAATGCAACTTTGTTAGCTCATACTGTGATCATTCCTGTAACTAATTTTTTATGGTAATACCAATAGCATTTAGGCTTGTATAGCAATTTAGGCTATGTAAAGCCCCATAGTGCTTTACAGCACCCTCTGGGTGCTTTACAATGTAGAAGTATTATTTACATATTGCCCCTAACAATCTGGGTTCTTTTTTCAACCTTCAACTCTAGGTTTTGGGCAGTTTGCCTGCAGTACTGCACTTTAACCATTGTGTCACCAAGGCTATCTATAGATGTTCTTTATAGAAGTTATATTGTCATATATAAGTATATTATTTCTAATGCCAGTTTGAATTTTTTAAATTAGATAACTGGGACTATAAAATGCATGTAAAGGGTGAACTTTATTAATTTTTTAAAAGTCATTTCCACTTCTTCCTTAGGTCATTTCAAGCTGATAATATAACATTCTTAATCTATGCCATCATTAAAATATCTCAATACCGTATCTGAATTGTGAATGAAACTTACTGCACTAGAATGTTATGAATTGGATAGTGTGAAGAAGATAAATTTTAATCCTACTACATTATTTTCCTTCATAATCCTAAATATAAATGATTTCTTCATTTTATGGTTTTCCCTAGAACCAATTGTTATTCTGTCTTGTTGCAGTGACTTTTGAGCATTCATTACAGATTCTGTAACATAACGATTGTCACATTCTCATTGTCTCCTAGTTTACAAATAATAACAGTTAAAAAAAACTTGCTCTGTATTTTTAGGCCAAGTATTAGTATCTTAAATAAACATTAATGGAGATTTTGCCTTATTTTTTGATGTCTTCCAAACATCATTTTCAGCAGTCATCATATTTATTACTGCATTTATATTATGGAAATTAAAAATTAATTATGGACCATCAAGTGATATTAAGAAAAGGCCTGTTTTAAAGAAAGGTCAGAAGAAAAAAACCAAATCATATCTTAGCCAGATGCTGCTCAATAAGCTTAAGGCTGGAAAACATAAGTTAGAAAATGCATTAAGAACCCCCATATAAACCACAGGATACATTTAATAAATTAGTATGCACATCACCTGTGAAATATATGAGCCCTTCAAGAGATGATATGTCTCCAATTCAGTGCCCTTCGCTCTAGCCTTGCTTGAATCAAACACTTTTCTCTTGGATCCATGATTTTTTCTGCAAATATTCATGTGTTTCTCCAACCTGGAACAGTAAAGTCTCCGTCCACAAAAATTGCATTCTCCCCAATCTTCTATATCATTCTGGACCTCTATATATGATGGTTCTGCTGCCACCGATTCTGCATGACCTATTGGGGTTGCAGTTGGAGAACAAGACTGGTTGGATACAGATGCTGGTTTTAGGCTGTGAGTGGAAGAAATATTGGAGAAGTTATCTCTAATTTTATTGTTGCTAGCTATCAATCGTTGCTTTTTGAGCCTTTCCATATGAAGTGTCTGTGGAAGCAGGACAGTCCCAATTGAAGCTATCACAGTCTCTGGAACAAGCATTTTTTTATCATCATCATCATCACATTGTGCAATAGATTTGGAATTACAATCTTGAGAAATAGCTGACATTTTTTTCTCTGGCATCCGTAATCCTCCTTGGTCTCTTCTTGCTTCTGCTTTAGTTTGCTGTCTTTTCCACTGGATTTTACGGAGCTCTTCTTCTGTTTTCCTTAGTTTCTCCCTAAGGAGAGTCTCCTTTCGCTGGATTTCCTCCTCCAAACTTCGTCCAGCAGCCTCCAGTTTTTGAATATAGCCTGACTCTGCTCTTTGTGAATGAGAAGTTGTTCTATTAGATTGTTGTACAGAAAAAGGAGTGTGCACCCCTACAGGCTGAGCCTTTACCGCATGTGAGACTTTTGTTTTCTCTGAGCTAATCCCACAGGAAGGAATCTCTGTTGCTGGTGCATTTCCAACTTGCCAAGAACTTGGTAAAGAACCATTCTCAGATTTTGGGGGGAAAACCGGCTTAAGTGGATATGCTCTGTCAACACCTTCTCTCCGCTTCATTCTCCAGTGGGAAGGCACAGTGCTGGCCTGACCCTTGAAACACCAGTTATGTGGGCCAGCAGAATAAAAACTTGCTTTCTCTAAGCCCAACTGACTATTTTCTGCAGGCCGAGTACAGGAAGAGCTCCGCTCTTTGTGAACATGAAGATCTTTCAATTTCTTCTCTTTACAGCACACAAGTTGTTGCTGGATATTATTCCTCAAATGTTCTAGCTGGGACTGTTCTTTAAGAACTTCAGGATGACGTCTTTCCTGGCTTGTTGCAGGAAGACTGGAATTGGATGCTATTGGATCCATATGCGAACACACAGCCAGCTGCAACTGAGCCATTCAGCATTTCCACTAAATCTGAAGAAATGCAACAAATTATATACATGCTATAATTCCTGCTCTCATTCTATAATTCTATTCCTTTATTGAGAAAATATGCTCTGATTGCAAGTAACTTAATGTTGTCCTTCAACAAAATCAGTGTGGGATTTCAGCCATGATCAATAAAAAGAAGTGTGCAAATAAAATGATCTATTTTTGCAGTACTGCATTGCTTCTAATATAATTTACAATATCTGACTGTGGATACCATAAAAACTGCCACATCCATACTTAGCTTATTCCATATAGTTATTACTTTGACCCAAATGCAACTACATTTGTAGGGGGAAAAGTACCACGCACAACCTAAAGGTCTTGCTATTACAAGCCAGATTTATTATGCAGGATTTAATCTTGACGAAAGTGTTTGCATGGGTATCATAGAAACATAGTTCAGAGGAAAAGGTTGCACTCACATCTCCTAGCACTGTCCAGCTGGCTACACCATGATGCTGCAAATTGGATTAGTCAGTGGTGAGGTGCATTGGACTTGGTCTATATGAATTCCTGCTGCTACCCCGTGTATATCATTAGTCTACCACTGCTGATCCAAAGGTACTTTTTCAAATGGCAACTGGACATTTTTGTTTTTCCCTGAAGGGAAAACAAAGAAAACGCAGTTGCCTTTTGAAAAAAATGCCTTTGGGACAACTATGACCTAGATGACTGAAAATCTCCAGAGACATCTACCAGTGCTGAATTCATGATGCTGCACCTATGTGGCTGGGACAATGTGAAGATAATACTATTAGTGTACCATCTTTCCTGCTACTTCTCTTTCTGTGGATGACCTCAGTGCAATCTTAGAATATCCTTATCTCCATATTCATGGGAGTTCAATGTCCACGCTGAAACTGCTCAGTCAAAAGCACCTCAAGATTTAATAACTCCCTTGATTACTCTGGGTCTTTTCCAATTTACATCTGACCTGCATACATAAAAGGTCAAACTCAGGATTTGGTAATATTATTCTGAATGACTGCTAATAGCAATAGCACTTATATAAAACCTCTCAGTGCTTTACAGCCCTCTCTAAAAAGTTTTACGGAATCAGCATATAGCCCCCAACAATCTGGGTCCTCATTTTACTGACCTCAGAAGGATAGAAGGCTGAGTCAACCTTGAGTGGGTGAGGACTAAACCCCTGGCAATCAGCAGAATTAGCCTGCAATACTGCATTCTAATCACTGCACCACCATAACTCTTGATCTGAAAATGGGAAGTCTTTCTGTTATGTAAGCCACAGAGAGATCATTACCTAGTCAATTTCAAATTGATGGTTAGTATAAACCTGCAGGAAGGAGGACCAGTTAAAATGACTGAGGATTATAGTCCAATGGTTTCCTGAGTGTATTTGGAGGAATTTTCTGCTTTATCTGTCAGCTATAATGCTGATAGACTGGATAATCTGCAGAATATGGAAATAATTTTAGTGGTTAGGATGACAACCTTTGAGGAGACAAATGACCCTTAGGGCTACTATGAAAATGACCCTTAGGGCTACTGAGAAAAATGAAGTGCATAGGAGAAATGAGAACTGGAAAACAAGTATCTTACACTGAGATCAGACTAAGGTTCTTTATAAGGTCACCTGTACGACACTGGAAGAAAAACAGTTGCTCACTTTCCTGTCTCCGTGGGTATAAAAAATCAATATGGTGGCCACAATGGTGTGAGTGAAGCTCCATCTGTTTCTTAAGTGTGGAATGTGTACAATGCTTATAAAAATGAACTGATTTAATAATACTATTATGGTTGCATTATGACATTTTTTACCATACCCTGCAGAATCTCCATTTGCCTTCACTGCATTTATTTCCAACTAATTAGTCAACATTTATATTCTGTACTCTGCAGCACCTTCTTTGCCAAGATTTTGCAGTAGAGAATAGAAGACTTCACTTTTTTTTTTTTTTTTGTATAATCAGATCTATCTCAACTTGGAATACTGGCATATCGTAAGACTATAATCCTTTCTTCATAATTTTTTCTCTGATTTTGTATTTTCAATCTCTAGAATGTTGAACAGGTTGTACAGAAATAGGCTTAACACCTGATTATTTGATCCTTGCCCCACCTGGTTTATTAAATCAACCACAACTGATCTCATATTTAAGGTAGTGAGTAATGCTTCTTTGCAGATGGGATATTATTTGTTGCCTCTGTTACAAAAAAGTCCATTGATTATGGATGCTTATGTGATTATAGACCAAAACAAACTCATTTCAGTTCATTTGGCAGGGATGTGATGCAAACATTACTTTGGTAAACCGAACTAAAAAAAATAAACATGTGTATGAAGGGACTAGATTTCAATAGTTGTGCATCCTAAACAAAGGTATCTTTCTAGATTGTCTGATAAGAATGGGTCTTGGGGTCAGATTTGTGAACTGAGTTTAGCCTGTTTTGATGGGGTTCCAGATAAAGTTAAATAATAGGTTTGCAGTCTGAGAGTGCTGTTTAATTGGCTCTCATTGGATTTAAGATTGTAAGGATTATATTTGCACAGATAGATGCAATTCTTTCTGATAAGTTAGCAACAATTGTCCATACCTTCACTACAGTATATCCCATCTTGGTTTTTGGTTACTGCAATGTGTTAAATGGACCTAACCTTGAAAAACATCCAGAAATTGCAGTTGGTATAAAAGGAGGCAGCCAGACAAGTAATCAATGCAAAATTCAAGGAATAACAATATGTATACTGAAAAATCTTCATTGGCTTTCGGATGTTTATTGATGTGATCTAAATTGGTACATGTTGATATTAAGTTTTCAAAGTCCTAACAGATCAATATCTGCAAAAGAGGTTCTTCTCGAGATATATTTGGAACACTTGTACACAGTCTATAAAATGTACTCATTAGGAATTATGTTTCCCATTTTCCCAACTTAGAAAAGTTATAAATCAAGAAGGTCAATAAATACAACAGATAAACTGCTTTAAGACAGGAAAGACAGAAAGGGAATGGAAGGAGCATGAGGAAACCTTTGTTTATTTATCTCTTTTTCATCCTCCATCATAGCATTTCCTTACTTCTATAATAAATATGTTGTATATATTAAAATGTACTTATCCTAAAGCTAGTGGAAATCTGTAGATATCAGCCATATACAGTACTTGTTTTCAGCTGTCCTATAAATTCATTACTGTACTGTATTTTTATGCCCAATCTAAACAAGTCAAGGTAATCAAACTATTTACTAGCTTGTAGAGCAGAAATAACTTATCTTTGTGTGGTTACCGGTGGAACCTGAAGGCAGCTAAATCATACTTAGATGACCTTTTCATAACTCTAAAACTCTAGCCCCTTTTCCTTCCTAATGCCTATCTCTCTAGGTAAAATACCCTTCCAGTTGAATTCCAGCTCTTCCATATTTCTTGGCAACAATTTCAAATGGTTTGCCATTCCTTTTCTCTAGGTTCTTCAAAGAAAAACCAGAAAGTCCAGTTGCCTTTTGAAAAAAGCACCTTTGGGACCTTTTCTCTAGTTTTTTTTTTTTAACTTTCTGGGGATTTCTGGTTGTCTCCCCTATACAAATCCGAGTCCGCTTAGCTTTCCATATCAGCCGGGATAAGGCAAGGATTGTTACTGCTTGTGAATGCTTTTGCTGTTAGGATTCACTTCTATAGTTCTATAGAGCAGGGGTCTCCAACCTTGGCGACTTTAAGCTGGCTGGGGAATTCTGGGAGTTGAAGTCCACCAGGCTTAAAGTCGCCAAGGTTGGAGACCCCTGCTATAGAGGGCTGAAGGGAATGCCTTTTTTAACCCCGCCTTAAAGGCGGCTGCTACAATTTTACACAGCATTAAACTAGCGCTCGTCTCCGTTAATGATTTTACACTATAATGGGACTCGAACTGCCGGTTCGAAATTTGACAAAATTCAGGGAAGAGGGTACAGACGGAGGCACTGTGGCTGCTACAAGTTGAATTCACGCACCTACCAAAATAGCCTGCCAGCCGGCTCCAGACACACAACCGCCGCGCACGCGACGCCGCGCCTGCCTGCCTGTTTTCTCTGAACGGCGCCACTGCCAGACCTTCGGGTGGCGGTTTAGCGCCGTTGCGTAGCAACCACAGCGCCCCCCCCTCCCCGCTACATCCGATTCCATCTCAGCGGTTTCCGGTGGGTGAGAATCCTTAGGAAGCATACCGGCTTTTCTTTAATTATGTGGTGTTAGTTATAGGCCAAAGTGCCCGCCGTTTAGCCCTACAAAGCAGCGCCGCTCGACTATAAATCGTTTAATTAATTCCACTTCGGTTCCGACGTGCCGAAGCCTGTCTCCACGAAGCGTGCTCGTCGTTAGTGGCCGTTGGTGCGCCCCTCGCGCTCGCTCGGTTCTAGTGGGTGGGTCTCTCTTGACAGCCATCTGCGAAGCTGGCAGAGAAACTTTCGGGTTGCCCGGGCGAAACCTGACCCGGCAGGTCTCTGGCGCTTCTGTCTTGTGTACCCAACGGGATGGAAATAAGGGAGGGGCCTGTCGGAGCGATGCCGTGCGCCTTGCCCTCCAACTTCCCCTGCCCGGAGGTAGGGGAGGGAAGCGAGAGCCAGGTTAACTTAGTTATCCTGCGTAGGCACCCGGGGAGCGGATCGCTTCGACAATGCAAGAGCTTTTGGAGGCTGCTCCAGGGACGATCTCCCTGCGGGTATGGCACCTGCCTCTCTTTTTCTGCCTGATTGCTGTTTTGCTTTCTGCACAGGCACCCCCGACCATGTCTGAGGGAAGCGGCCTCATTTCGGTGGACTATGAGGTGTTTGGGAAGGTGCAAGGGGTATTTTTCCGGAAACATACCCAGGTGAGTGGGCTCGATCTGCAATTTCCCTGAGGTAATAGATTGTACAGTACTGGCAATTTTTTGTCACTTTTCCCTCATTTCTCTTCTGCACTTGGTTCCAAACTGGTGAACTTTCTGGAAGTGGTTAGTAAATTAGAAGGCTCTACTTCCATCTGGTTT